ATAAAAATAATTAATAATTATAATTAATAACTAATAATTGATAAAACTGTTAATATTTATTAATTAAAAAATTAAAATTAGAAAAATGATTGACACACACTCAATTTAACACATATTCTGAAACACTTCCAGAGTTGATTTAGCATGTTTCTACATTGTATGTACATGATTATATTTTTAAACTTGTTTGTTTTTAATTTTATATCAAGAAATATTAATTTTTTAATAAATATGTTAGATAGTATGTTGAATTGAGTGTGCACCAATCATTGTCCTTAAAATTAATCAAGAAATTAGTATTTTTAGATACTGCTTAAGAAAAAATTGAAAAATTAGTGGCATTGACACTTTTTATGTCTGTCTTTCTAACTTGCCACACAAATCATCCCATTGTTTTGTTTTAGTTTTGAGTTGATCTCCTCCCATGAAAGTGCTACTTACTCATCAGTATCTCAACTTTAGATCACTAATTCGTATTGTTGAATGCTTTAGGTAAATTCTTAACAAAACTTTAGTGCCACTTATGCTTTGCAGGGACTCCTGCAGACTGTGCATCTTTGGGAATCTCGGGATCACTTTTTCCTTCAGTTCCTGATCTGGTAACTCTAGTACTGATAAGAGCTCATATTGTTTTATCTCTGTCATGTTTCCATCTTGCTTGTTTTACTGCATCAAGGGCAATGAGGAACAACATTTCATTTTAATTTTTTTTTTCCCAACTCGCCAAATGCTTCTTAATTGTAGTAGCATCTGGATAATTACTACTCAAAAACCCATTTCCTCTTCTTCTCGTGCATAGGCACACACATGAATGATATTCATCTGGTTGCTCTTTGGCCAAAAAAGAGTGCTTGCGATCATGCCATTTTCAACATTTTTTGGTTGCTCGTATGATATATATTCAGACAATTAACACATTACTTTTGACTTACAGGTAGTCAGTGGCATTAACATGGGTAGCAACTGTGGTTATCACATGTTAGTAGTTTGTTCTATCACTCATTGGCCATTTTGCATATATTCTTTTACTCATTGGCCCTTTTGCATATTAGTTGTCTTAGAATTTCAGTAAAATTTAAGCTGTAGAATCCACAGTCCCTCTTTAACCATTTATTATGGAGGCTTTGTTAAGAGTATGGAAAGGAGAAGAGAAAGAAATGATAGTGGTATACTGCACCTTTTGTTCAGCTGTTATTGTAAACATGTAGACATACTGCCCCCAAATCCTCCACTTCTAATATGTGTAATTGGCCTATTCAGATCATCTTCTGTATGACAGTTAAAAGTGAGAATCAACAGAACTGTTATATTGCTTTAGTCTTACTTGCTGCTAAATATAAATATATCTGACTAAAGTTCTTTGGAGTTAGAATTGTTTCAAGGTTCTTTTGGCTAATAATTTTCTCTTCATAATTATTCTGGAGTAAGTATTAAGGGCCTGCCATTAGATACCCAATAGATATTGCTGTGATACCTATTCTATCCAGAAAAATATTATATTTATAAGTGATCTAATTTAAAAATTTTGTGATTCAGTTACTTATAATGAGACAATTAATTAAGTCATCCTGTTCACAAGATTCTGAAGTTCCTTACTTAAAAGATGGCATATTCTTGGACTTTCTTATGGCTATTGAAACAGCTTTGATAGTTGTTCTATATGGTTGGTCTGTTTTTGCTTCCTATTTAACTGATATGATTCGTTCTTGGAATTCAGTGTTTACTCTGGCACAGTCGCAGGTGCTAGAGAGGCCTTCTTTAATGATATACCTGCTGTTTCCATGTCATATGATTGGTATGTATCTCTTTCTACTGCAACATTATGAATTTGGAGAAAGCCTTTCTATAGCTAGTATACTTGGTTTTGAGGTCAATCAGTTTCTTGTATCTTCAACCTTCTTTTTCTCCCCTCCCCTTTTTTTTTTTCATTTTAGAGTAGTTTCTTTATTTCTTTCTATATGATTACTCTTGTTATTAAATTTTAGGGTTGCAGGAAAAAGCAACTATGATGACTTTACACTTGGTGCTGAGGCTTGCTTGCCAATTATTAATGGGATACTGTCTGAGATAAAAAATAAAACTTATCCTCTAAGTTGCTTTTTGAATGTAGATCTGCCGAATAACATCACCAATCATAAGGTAGATTCCAAATGATATTTTAAGCATTCACTTGTTAGTTTTGTTTGAATAGTGAGATCGCTGCGAAATTGTAGACTTTTCCCCATTTTATATCTCAATCATTATCTCTTCACCTTAAGTCAGTTACTTCTCATTTTGATCATCTTAAAAGGACTTAAAATGTTCTGTTTGCCATGTGTCTCTGAGTTCTTTATGATATTTGATTTTGGATTTTTGTCATCCAGGGTCTATGAGTGAAATTAATATGCTTTTGATGTGATAACTACGTTATTTACATCTCAGTTATTAGATGAATTTTAGTTTTTTATTATGCATTGATTCTTCTTGTATTTGCGTTGATGTTTTGGGATATTTCTTCTGCCTCAAAAAGGGATATAAGCTGGCTAAGCAGGGCAAAGCTATATTCAGAATGGCATGGACGCCAGTTACATCTGAAAAGCAAGGGGGACAGATGTTATCCACCATGGAGATGGCTACAAATTCAACAGAAAAGATGGAAATTGATGCATCAAATTCATCATCAGGACATCTTCTGTTCAAGAGAGTGGTATTTCCCCTTCCTTGTATAATCTATTATTTTTATTTACTTGATACCATCTTCATTCATCTTTGATTCCTTTTAGTTGAGTTTCCAATTACAATCAATTTCACATACCTAAAGAAATTACGTTTATTGTCTCAGTAGAACCCAGATGTATGCACTGGAAGTCTCTTAGCTGTTTAAGGTTTATGAGAATAAGGATCACAGGAGGGGGGAATTGTTTATTTGTGATATTGGTTTAAAGTTATGAATATTCTCTTGTTTGATCTTTCTTCTCTCCTTTCTAAAGAAGCTGGTTTCAGGCACTTGGTACTTTAAAACTTTAATTGGCAATTAAGTTTAAGAAGTTTGCTTCAGATTAGTGATCTAGTGGGTCTCCTTGAAATTTAAACGTAAAACCCATCATAGTCACATAAGCACTAAGAAAAAGGAAGCATGTCCCTCCTTGGTTTGAGGCTCTAGCTCTTGTTTTCCTTATGTCAACCCCAGACAAGTTGATTTGTCTGCTAGGGAAGTGCAACTCATGTTTTGGGCATTCATGGTTGTTTTGGCTTCAGATGCTTTAAATGATTTGGTTTTAGATAAACTAATATGTATGGATTTTTAACAAATTCAACATCATTTTATAGCCAGTATTGAAGTAAAACCCGATTGGAAGAACAGTCATTGCTCAAAACCTGTTGCTTGACTAGTCGACTCTAAACTTGCGTTTCCAATTTTTGTAGGTAAATTGGAGCCAGGTTGATAACGATGATACAGACAAGAAGTTTCTTGAGGAGGGATATGTGCGTGCCTTTGCCTAATTTAATGTAAACTTCTTTCAGTATAATAATAGCTTTTAATTGACAAAGATGCTCATTATTAACTTTCAGATCGTGGTTACTCCTCTTCAAGCTCTCTCTCGTGCTGACCCTGATAGTGTCTCCTATTTCAAGCAATTGTTCCCAAGTGTGATTGGTCCCTCTTTTTCATCAGCCTTATAATGCTGTGCATTCCTCAGGTAAGTGAAATTCAATAATGCCTCAATGATTTGACATTTTTTCCTTTTATGATACATAAATGCTAGTATTATTAGAAATTGGAGCTAGATGAAATGGAACAATCACTATCCAACATTCTGTTTTCTGTTTATCTGAAGCAGTGATTTGTGAAGCACTGATTAGAAGAGCCTTATGGGCTCAAGTGGTGCTGAATTCCTCGGAGGTTTTTTCTGCGAGATATCGTATGATTCTTGGCCTTCTGTTACTGATATTAGTTAATAAAGATGGTAAACCTTGTAGTGCATTCGATCTGGGATCTATTTGCATTTCAAGAAATGTCTACGAAAGCTATGGTTTTCTCATCTATGGATTTGCTATTGGTGTTAAACTTTATTTTATTTCATATATATATATATGTATGTTTTTTAACCTTGTAGTATTAATATTTATGCCCTAATAAAAAAAAAAAATAGTTATTGGATTATATTGCTTTTCTCATTGTCAATTATCACAGCAAGATATCAACGATCTAAATAATTCAGTAATTATTTTCTTTGATTAAAAGTAAAAAATCTTGAATTCAAGTCACATGACATGCAACTGAGGTGCAATAGAGGATGAGAAATGATTATCTACTATCGTGTAACCAAAATAAAAAGAAAAATTATCGCGGCAGAGCATCAAATGAAAATCCTTTTTCCTCGGACAATTTTTTTTACATCACAAAACCTTGAGTCCAGGTCTTTGAATTGAGTGTTTATCGAGGTCCTTTTCTTGTTTTGCAACATATCCATAATCCAATATATGTGTTTCTTCAAATTGAAGTTTTGATGACTCAAAACCCCTCCTGTTGTACGCATTTCGTGTTTGTTTCCTAGACAAAATTAGCATTCTAGTCATTATTCTTAGCTTAAGGAGTGGAGGCTCAGTTAGTAAGGGATTTGTATTTTTTTTTTTTTTTTTGTATCCCGCCTGATATCCGAGGTTTCGGCCCGACTAATTTGGACTCAATTCACGTCGCGCACCTGAAAATGGTGGGTGAGTTTCCTAGCGGGGGCTGCTGCATACATAAGGATTCGAACTCGAGACCTTGCTTAAGCTGAAACAAGTCGCTTACCATTTGATCCAACTCCTCGTTGGTTTTGTTTTTTTTTATCTTGATCAAAGTTTGATTTTTTTGAAATGGTTAATAAGGATGTATTTCATTGTAAATTTCTTAATCTTGGCATCGATTGTTTATTTTTGGTTTAATTAGTGATAAATTAATTTTAAGGTATATATAAATTAACTTAAAAATGCCTTTAATTTTAAATAAATATATATGAAG